TGTCTGCAGGAATTTCCCGAGTGTTGGTGTGTCAGTGAGAGAGAGTTACTGGAGGATTGGGGTCAGGGGGCTGGAGGGGGTGTGTCACCAAGTGGGCGGGGGACTAATTTCACGTATGACACAGACGAAGAAGGCGGAACTGAGAATGCACTTAAGGTCCATGTCTTCCCTTCTCTCCCACCTTCTCAAACCTCCCTCTCTTCCATCTCATTGCAAATGTGTTTCTTTGACTTTTCTCCACTCTTGCTTTTTACTGATAGAAGTATGTTTCTTTATTATTTTCTCACTACTAGATGATGGTTATGTGGTAGTACAGTTGGTTGAAGAGTTTGAAACTGATGCCACCAAACCTGATTCCCTGACATCATCACCAACAAGGTTCAGTTGTGAACTATAGTTAGGGTAGGGGTGCGAAGTGATAGTGAAATAGAAGTAATATAGGAAGAGGTACAGCGAGATTTTTACTATTCCATCCTCCAACTATAGTCAAAGTATTGGGATGGTTGTTTGTCATTTTGTTTTTACTCACGTGCCTGCAAAAAATGCAAAACATTCATACTCGAAAGCCTTTTTGGGGGATTCGGAAAAAGTTACTGTATGGTATCTGCAGTTGAAAGAAAATTTTCATAGAGGCAAGGTGGTGTTGCTATTCCACCCTCCAACTTTAGTCAAAGTATAGGGCATGGCTGGTTTGTCATTTCCTTGACACATGTGCCTGCATGCAAAACTGTTAGAACCTTCTCTATGGGAGGACGCGAGACTGTCTTTCTCGGCGTCGGGACTTCGCTTACCGCTGCACTGGAACTGCCCGATTGACCCATTTTTCGTTTACAAAATTTCTTTGTGAAAGTACACACTTTCCCATAATTGGAACACAAACTCGTGCGCATGCGTGTAAGTAGTGGGTGGGGCTCTCATGCACAAAATGGACGATTACTTGATACCTTGTGTGGTGAAGCCAGCCGTTTTCCTCACCGTTTCAGGTACAGAATCTGCTTCATTCATCTTTCTGTGATGATGTATTACATCAGGACAGAGGGGCAGGGCTCGGCAGGGTCCAGGTTCAGTACCAGACTCTGGGAATGAGACCAGACCATCAGGTTGTCAGGTGGTGGACGTGGAATTTCGTTCCTCCATTCCAGAGGTCGTAGGGTGCATCTCGTTCCAAAACTACTACACTCATACCCTCACACTCAGGTACTGTAACCTGCTCTCCGAACAGATTTCAAATTCAAAATCTGACCACCCAACTCAAAAGGAATGGAGAACAGGAATAGAGAGGGTTCAACTGATGCCAAACTGCCACTGTGAACGAGGCAGCCAGAGCTTGGTTGTCCTAAATAAAGCCCACTTCCTAGCCTCGCTGGAGAATGTAATTAGTTTCCGTCTCATTCTGAGACAGCCGTCTCCGGAATGGAACCAGTTTGGTATCAGAGATCTCAAAATCTACTCTGTCGCTAATCCGTTCCACCGAAATGGAAATACCGGAACCAGGACTACTTTCATGTCGACTGATGGAATGGAACAGGTACTACGGAATGGACTGCAGACCAATGGCGACATGGAATCAGGGCAAGACATAAACAGACACCCTTACGATGTAGCAACACTCTCTTACACGTGAAAAAGAAGATATTATGAAAGTGTTTTATGACATGAGTAAAGTTGGTTCATTTGATTTTGATGCTGTGTGAGACGTTGGCTCTGATGCCAGAGGATTCACCTCCGTAGCGATGGAGCTCCTTCATTACCTCACGCACCTGCACAGCACAACAAAAACCAATCACTATTTAGAGGACACAAAAGGATGGCAAGGTATATAGTGTACCTGGCCCTTATGCTTGATCAAGGCCTTTCTGAACTTGTTCCTATGCTTCACTCGAGGATTCCTCAGCTCCTTCTTCCTCTGTGGAATCAGCCCTCTATTGCGAGATATCTGGACAACAAAAGTTAAGTTAACAGGAGAAAAATCCCATCAACAAGATAAAACCAAGAAAAAAGGTCTTTAATAGAAAAAAATCCCTGAGAGTGTGACTATTAAACCTGGTAAGTGACGGCTCTTTTTCCATCTTCTCCCTCATCAAGGTCGGCTTCCTTCTTCTCCTCTGCCTCTTCCTTTCTTCTTCTCTCATTCTCTGCTCTCTCTTTCTCTTCTTCTCTTCCAAAACCCTGTCATAGTAATCCAGTGGATCCTCTTCAACTAACCCAGACTGGACATTCTCACCCCAGAAATTTGGCACTTCTTCTTCACGGATTTGATCTCGGTTTCAATTTCCTTTCTCTCACTCCTTGTTTTCTCTTTCGTGCTTTTTACTAACACCATCTTCCACTGCTGAATATTGGTCCATAGCTGGATTTTCCTCTGGTGTTTCAGAATTCAGAGAGGATAAAAGAGCCTCGATCTGCCTTTGCATTTCGCTGGCCAGTGGCTCCAACTGACCAATCATCTGTGAGAGAAAGTCACATGACAATCACATGATTTCTAAGTGAATCGTGTGATCTCCTTCTCACCTTTTTGATTTGAACTATGCGCTGGATGACTGGGTGAGATTTGACAGGCAGACCCGACGCTTTCAGGTAGAGGTAGAACATTATGTTCATGCAATACCTAAGAGAGAAAGAGAAAGAGAGAGATGTTTTACACAATATCTAAAGAGAGAGAGAGAGAAAGATAATAATGGAGAGAGCAAGAGAGCTAAAAGCGAAAATGACAAATGCTATCTTACAGAAGATCGAGATGCAGCTTGCAGTCCAAATATTCTCTTCCCTGCAAAGAAAAAAAAACAATACCCGAATTTATGGAGCAAGTGCTAGATGGATGAACTTGCCTCGTCAGTGAAGGTAGGCGAGTCTTTGCCACTCTGGACTGGAATCGAGCAGTTCCACCGTCTCTGACATGTTGAAGTCAAAGTCCTCCAGAAGATCGACTAGCTCGGGGAATCCTTCTCTAGCAGCTGTAACAGAGAGAGAACAGTTCCTTGGTGATATTTCAACACTTGATTCTGGTGGCCTTTAAAAATATAACAATAAAGCCAGTGTAGCTCTGAACCCGCTGGTGTCTATTTTACCTGTTTTTGCGCGTGGTGGCAGAAATCGTGTAACAGCGGACTCGGACCAAGTATTACCCTCTGCGATGCACGCCGCCGAGGGTTACAAAGAGAACTCACTGCCAACTTGTCTTCTCGTGACATCTTTGAGAAATCCTGCGCCACATGTTCCTCCTGCGAAAATTCAAAAATGAAACCGAAAAACACTACAGTAATCTGTTATGGCTACCTTCTCTGCTCCATCTTCCTGCTCCCCATCCTCTTCCTGAATTCAAGTAGAAGAGGAATTTCGGTAAGTGACATTCATATGAACAAGGTTCAGTAAGAGAACGGTCATGTAAGTCAGTTCGTGTAGAAAGAAAAAAGGAGGGATTTCTCACAGGTAGGGTTGAGCCATGAAGTCTGCCTCGCTGATGGCAGCGGTCATTCTCTGCTGCAGAGCAATGGCCTCCTTCTCCTCCAACTCTGCCGCCATCTCCGAGCCTTCCGACCCACTCAACTCATCCTCACCTGAGAAGAGACATAGCGCATAATGAAGGAAGAATAATGTAAAACTCTGCAAATTGTTTCACAAAAGTCTGATAAAGCATTCGCTAGAGTACAAAGTCAGAGAAGAGAAGAGATATCGCAATCCCATGAAGGAAGATGAACAGTAATACAAATATGGTAGTATGTTTTCACTTTTGTAAGACTATGCCTTCGACTGCATAGAATGTTTTCCTTTTCCGCCCCCACGCCTTGTCGGACATTTCTAGGAAAAACGTTTCAAGAAAACACTATGAGCAGTGCGTCGTATATATATACCTGTTTGATGTTTTTCCGAAGGATCCTCATCATCGCTGGCAAGAAACTGCCTCTGTAGGGCAGGTGGCAGCTTAAACTCCTCCTCCCCCTCACTTTCCTCTTCCTCGCTCAATCCAAGCACCTCTTCTTCGTCAACCTGTCCAACACACAAACGCTTTCTTTAGAGTTCAAAGTACATATCGGTCTGTAGACATACACTCAATCCATCGTCCTCAGAACTGCCACTATCGCCTTCGAGTAGCAACTGAAAGAAGAATTGTTTAGTCGAAGAATTCGTAAGAAAACAAACAATCCTCTCACTCTTTCTTTGGCGTCGTGGAAATCATCTATCTCGTCCCGGAAGAAATTGTCTTCGTGCTGGACATTTGGCTCGTGATAAAAGGACATGGCGTCAAGTACGGACTTACTATGTTGACCAGGCTTTGATCGCGTTCGGTCGGGTCGTCCTCTTTGTCCTCCGCGGCCTGTTTTCTGACCGCCCCGCGAACGCGCTGGAGTCTCCTGAGGGTAACAAAGAAACGTCATGAACGAACCGATGAACCAGACTCGTGTTGCTTCTTCACCTAGCATGTCGACCCATTCTCATTCAACCGGCCCGCGCCCACGTGTGTAGCTACACCTTTGACCTCACGTGCACGTGAACTGCGGAAATTTTTATACGGGCGAAAACATTTTTCATCCAATACTTCATTTCACAATCAAACTAGAGTACAATAAACTAATGGTGGCTGTTTTTTCACTACGACTAAACTACGATGAAGTGATTTTTGCGGGTTATTATCTTTGCGGTTACACAACTTCTTTGAAGTTGGCGTAAGTCTCAAAACTGTCCATGTAGGTGGCGACCACGTCATGGCAGAAGGCGTAGTGAGCCTGTAGAACACAAATAGCTATCATTCACACCTGTGACAGTACATAAAAGCTACCAAAGTTGATAGGACCAATGCAATTTCTGTAACAGTTTTTATTTTTAGTAACAGTTTCCCTTTAATAGCTAATAGAGGGAAGGACGTACAGCATCTGGGATGAGGGCTGCTCGTTGGATGCGAGCGGATTTTGCAGCCTGGAAGAAATCGACCACGCCCTCAGTCTTCAGTCTCTCCAGTTGGGAGTGGATACAGATGAATGTCCCCGTCCTTCCTACTCCATCACTGCAGTGTGGGAGAAATCGACAGAACACTCCCATACTCCTTTGCGTTGTGTTGTGTTGTGTTGTAGATTCGAACCCCTACCAGCTGAGTTGCCCTGGTAGCTCAGTTGGTAGAGCGCTCGCCTAGACTGCAGAGTGTCGTGGGTTCGAATCCCACCCAGGCAGTTCTTCTTCTTTTCTTTGAAAAGAAAGAGCTGTCCTGGGTGTAGTTGACTTGTTTGCCTTGCCTTGGCTTTCTACCTCGCTCCCAAGTTATTGAGACATGCTAGGTGCCATACCTGCTCTCTAGCTATGCACACATCTGAATGAGTTTAGGAACACCAATTTTTCCTTTGTTACGGAGGTAACGCAATACAGTAGTGTTAGTGTATTAGGATAAGGCACAACCAAGTGTCTAGTCGAAGGGTCCTAACTAGTGGTGGAGCGAAAAAGCTAAAGCTTCTGACCTGCACATGACTACAGTGTGTCTGCCGGGGCTGCCCCTCTGTGCCTTAGTGAGCAGGTCCACCAGAGACAAGATGGCCGTGGGGTGAGGCAGCTCTCCGGGAGGCCAGCTGCTCAGCTGCATGAGACTCACAGTCTTCTGAACCCCTCCCCTCCCCTCCGTGTCCTCCACTTCCAGCTTCCTCTCAATGATGTCACCGTGATGGCTCACTCTCTTCACTCCCACCCTTAGCTTCCCGTACACCGCCTCTTCTTTCTCCCCTTCTGGCCAGAAACAATGACTGCTCACCTATCAGAGAAAAAAAAGAGAGACCAAAGCAAGATCAAGTAGCTACAGGTCAAAATTGGTTCTAAGGCCTATAGATATAAATAACAGCAGCGCTTCACTGCCACATGTCACCCAGTGGCTTGAGCACCTGACCAACTTGGCTCCTGGTTTTTTTCCCCTTTCGTCATGAACTTTCAGAAAAATCAGGGGTTTTGCTCTCTCAGCAAGGAGTAAAAGGACCGAGGGAACTCACTTGTCCCTTCTCCTGTGTCTGACAGAGCATGACGATGCAGCTGCAGTTGTGTTCCCAGATCATCCTCCATAGATCAGCCACTGTCCCTTCCATTGGTCCCTGGGTGGCTATGTAGGCCTTCCGTTGTTTATACCCCTGCAACAGGGAGACAAGGGTAATCCGAGGCTGGTCGAAATACAGAGAGAGAATGAAAAAGAACTAGCTTCTGCCAGGGGTAGAGCTCACACGTGACTGCAACTAATGGACTGTGCTACAGTTGAGCTATAAACACCTTCTCTTTCCCCCCAGAACTGTTTCTTGCACGCAATTCAACCCCTGTCTATTTTGTGTCCTGATTAGATTGTGTCCTACATGCTACAACAGGGAGACAAGCAAGTCAAGAGGGCGGTTGATTGATGGTTGAGATACAGAGACAATTATGAGGAAAAAACTGGCCTCTGTCAGTAGTAGAGCTCACGCATAATTATTGTCTGAAAACAATCCATGCTAATGGGTGAGCTACGATTAAAGTGGGATATTTCTCTGAGGATACCCCGGAAATAAGACCTTTTCTTTCCCCCAAAACCTTCTCTTTACCCTGTATATACTTCAATTATCTTATCTATGGAGGTGTGTGTGTGTGTGTGTGTGTGTGGTTTCATACATACGTCAATGAAAGATGCATTGATATAGTCGGAGCCAGGTTTTGGACCAAACCTCAGCCTCACACGACCCAACTCATCTGAAAGCGAGAGAAAACACTTTCTAATTTACAAACCATGAAGTTGAGCGTTGGGAAGGAATGCTCCTAAACAAAAGTTTATTTCCTTCTGAAAGGCCTTTAGAGTGGTAGGAGGAACATAAACAGTAAACCATATTAGAGACAACTTGTTCACCCACAAAGTGGGGATTGAGTCGTAAACAGCTAATGGGGTGGCATACACAATCCCACGGAGGGCTACCGTCAACAGCACCAGCAGATGGACTTTTGTTTTCAGAAGATGTGGACAAACGTTTGTCAGGAGTTGAAGAGGGTCAAAACACACATAGGATAATGTGTTGACAGTGAAAGGAAAGTGTTTACACTTACTCGGTAGCTTGTCAGGGAACCTGTTTTTCCCTGCATTGTACTTGGCCTTTGCCTCCTGGTAAGAGGCCTCGCACTGAGAGCTAACTTCCTCCAGGGTCTACACAATAAGTAACAAGAAGACAGAACTCACGTTTACTGTGTTAGACAACCTAAATGGTTCACACTCTCTCTAAAACACTACCTGAGTATAGCATCAGTATACTCAATGAAATCTGCCTCGCTCCTTACAAAATATTCGTATGAACAGTGTGGTTGAGAATAGTCAGACTCAGTTAGAGTCGAGAAAGAGATAAAATGAAGCAAAGCGTAGTCACATGCAAGGCTGGTAGTGCCACACCTGCATAGCTACATTACTGATGTGCCACTCTGAGGATACCTCAAACTGTTTCTGGAAGCCAATGAGACCACCAGGTACTGGTTTCTGTAGCTGCATCATCCTGATCCTGATATTACCAGCGGCCACATCGGTTTCTCCACACACCACTAGTTCACTGAGGGAATCATGGATGAAGACGTACTGAGCCTGCAGTGAGAGGAGGGGGGAAGAGGGAGGGAGGAGAGAGAGGGGAGAGAGAGAGAACAGAGAATGGGACACAGGGAGTAAAGTTGAGGTTGGTGAACCAAGAAAGAAAAAAAGACTGGGAGAAGGGAGAAAACCAAAGGAAAGCTAGACCCACAAGAGTATAATCCTTTTTCACTTACATACACTTGTATAGGAAGCACTCATACCTGGGTCTGAACCAGCTTCATTCTCTGAGTCCTCATGTTCTTGAGGCGTTGGAAGACACTCAGTGTCCCCTCCCTCTTCATCTGCTGCATGGCCACGTCCAGGAGGATGAAAGTACCGGTCCTCCCACCCCGGCACTGCAGTGGACCAGGAGGGGCGTGGTCAGGGAGGCCGGGTGTTCCTTGCGGACGCGATGGATGAAGGAGATGAGGGACATGGCGTTGCGAGGGACTCCGTGATCAGGCCAGGCTGTGTAGAGCATGTGGGTGACAGTCCTCTCATGTTCTGGGTCAGACTTCTGCAGGGAATAAAGCAAGACAAGAATAGGGCCTAGTGTGTAGTGTGTGTCAATTAGATAATTAATCTGAGGTAATCCCAGTGAGGAAAGCTGTCCGTTGCCAGTGCTTACACGCTTACATTACTCATGCAGTAACATTAGGGACAATGGCTGCACTATTTCACAATGCTTGCCTATTTTTTGGTCCACAAAAGTGAGATGTGAATATAGGGAGTTCATTGCGATATAGACTCACTGATTTGAGCTGTATCTTTCTGATCTGATACTCGGCAGAGGGTACCAATGAGGTAACAGTGATGTCGAACTTTCCACGTGTAACTGAAGTGTTGGTCTGATCTGGCCAATACTGCACACATTTCTCCTGAGAGGACCATAGTTTAAATCACAGTATAATTGAATAAAAATGTGCACCAGATCAAGGGACCATTTTGTTTCACTTTAGCTGAATTAGGCGTTTTACTGTAATTACGTTTTGCTGTGTATACACGAGTGGGCGAGCTTAATTCAAAGTGGAGTGGACGCACCCTCGTAGGCCGGTATAAAAGATGTGAAAAACGGAGAAGCTAGAAACAGACCTTGCCGTCCTCAACGCAGCGAGTGAGCATGACAATGGTAGGGATCTGATAGTCCCACACCATCTCCCAGAATCTGTTGGCTGTCAGCTCCGTTGGGCCTACGTGAGGCAGTGTCGAAAATGATGGCAAGAAACAGAAAAAGAAAGAAGGAGTAACGTAATAATGTAAGTGTAAGGGTAGAATGGGTAGCGTTAGTAATGTAAGTAAAAGAGAATGTAGTAAGGCTAATATGAAAGAGAAAGAAGTAAGGCTCAGTAAAAGAGAAAGGAATAAGGTTAGTGAAAGAGCAAAGGTGTGGTGAAAGTGTCACCTTGTGAGGCAATGTAAGCTTTCTTCTTCTCTGGATACCCCTGTGGGATAGTGAGACATTGGTCTGAACCACAGTTGTAATTGTGGGAATGTAGAGACATTCCGGCACCACTGCTATATATCAGTCTCATTGTCTCGGTTGAGCTGTTTGTGGGAATGTAGAGACATTCCGGCACCACTGCTATCTGAGCCCTCATTGTCTCGGTTTTCAGTTATGGTTGGTTCTCATTGTACTGGTTGACCAGCATGTCAACCATGTGAACAAGTTTTATGTTCTTTCATCTATAAAAGCCCCCATCCCGTCATGTGAACTGTTCAGGCAGTTTCTATGAAGCTTTAGAAACTTTAGGCAATTTTCTTTGAAAGTCATTTCAGGCAGTTTTTATAGCCACATAGCTTTATAGCCAACTCTATGTGCATAGTACGTATACATAGCAAGAGGCTGTATATATTAAGTTGTGCTCACATCAATGAATGAAGCATTGATGTAGTCAGAGCCCTTCTCTGCTGGATTTCCCTTCAACTGGACCCTGCTGTGATCATCTGCAGTGGAAAGTGAGTCATTAGAGTACTAACGACCAGGGGTTTACTCACAGGGGAAGATGTTTTTGAATCTATTGTGACTGATGTTGCAGGCGAGTTTTGCAGCTTCCGTAGATGCCGCAGGAAGCTTTTCCAATGACTAGAACACACACCACGCACACACACACACAGAGCACTAGAGCATACTGAAAGGTTTTTATTGAAAGTTTAGTCAAACCTTGTACTCGACCTCCAGTTTGCGGTCTCTGTCTTGATGCAACAATTTCACATATTCCGGGAACTCAGCCACAGGGACATCACTGCGAGAAACAACTACAAAATAGGAGAGTTTGACACACACACAATTAAATTTCGCTTTAGTTATATATTGCCTATGTTGGATGGATCTTCAAAGTAGTATTCTTTCTCTTCCTCATTGCTTTCCTCAAAATCTTTCATCTCCAGTCCACTCTGACTCCCTCCCTTCTCTTCCTCTTCTCTCTCCTTCAATGGTTTGGGAGGTGGCAGTGGTTTGGATTTCACTTTCACTGATCCTCTGTGACTTCTCCTCCACCTCGGGTTATGGACACACAAACAATAAGTGTCTGTAAAAGTGAAAAAGTAGCTACTCTATACCTGACAAAGACGATTAGTAAAACTGCAAGGAGCAAAATTAGTAGGAGAACCCCAATAACTGCTCCACTTGTGGGCGCTGCCACTGCTAAACTGCTGATGCTAGTAGCTCTCTCTGGTAGACATTTGTTAGCTCTAGACATTATAGCATACTGTATGTTGCTAGCTATATACCTGCTGGAGTTGTCGCTGAAGTGTTTGTGCTAGTAGCTCTCTCTTTGGTGAAAAAATACGTATATAGCTCTATGCATGTGAGCATACAATATGTGTATAGCTATACTACCTGCTGAAGTTGTTGCTGAGGTGTTTGTGCTAACTCCGATTCCTTCAGTATTAACAGCAGCCACACTTATCTCATAGTCTGTTTCTGGTGTCAAACTTAGTAGAGTAATTTCAGTTTCACTGGTTTCCACGGTATCCTTGTTCTCACTCCCCACTGCTCTGTACTGGACTGAGTAGCCAGTGATGTCTCCATTCTGGTGGATACATGGGACACTTCCCCACATCACAGTGATGGTGGATGATGTAACACCAACCACACTCACAGAAGAGGGACCAGCAGATGGAGCTGAAAATGAAACTGTAATTAGTTGTTTATCAAAACACTCATAATACGTACCTACTGGCTTGGTAGTAACCACAGTCTCATTGCTACCTATAACACGACCTTCATGAACAACCTCCACTTTAACCGAATATTTGGTCCATTCCTGTACTTGCAGAGTGTAGTTGAGAGTTTCGTTCCCAACACTAATGGTTCTATTGTCAAAGAAACACTTCTTGTTTGTGTTATAATAGGAGATGTTGTAGGTAGTTACTGGAACACCAGATACAGGGATCCATGTAAAGGTTACATTGGTATCACCTGATTTGACAGTACTTATAACGATAACTTCATCTGCAAGTAGTATTAAAGATCATATTAAGCACATAATAGATTTGTTAGACACATACCTACAACGGTAACAGTAATGTTGGTACTGATGGATCCACCAAGAATGGCAATACATTTGTACAGTCCAGCCTGAGATGTGGCTATCACATCCAATGTAAGCTTACTATAGGTCACTCGTCCACTAGAGGTGGGATTAGCTGGGGTGGGTGTTTCCCCAGGGCCCTCCCAAGTAAAGACTGGAGAACCATTTACTCCAGGGGGGACAGAGATGAAGCAGGTCAGTGTGAGAGTGTCTCCGGCCATGATGGGGGAGGGGGGTGTAGATCCAAGGGAGATGTTGGCTGGTACTGTATATGAAGACAGACAGAGTATTAGTTAACTATACACTTGTGATATTAACAGTACCTATATTGGCAGTTGGTCCATAGGTCACAGTACTTGGTAGTGTAATGGAGTTGGCTAATACACCGATGGAGAAGCTAGATCCTGCAATTAGTCCAGTGATATTGATATTTGTGTCAGTATTTTTAGCTGTCACTGAGCCATTTTGTTGTTCATCTATTTGTTGGTAGATGACAGTGTAGCCAGTAACATTGGGTCCTTCTGATGGTGTCCAGGTCACTAGTAGACTGTCCAGTCCATTCTGAGACACTCCAACATTAGATGGAGGAGAGGGAGCTGGTGTAATCATTAATATAATTCAGTAATTCCATGTAATATAATCAGTCTCACCGTGTACAATTAACTCTGCTTCAACTTCTGAAAACCAATTAGCAACTGTACATTTGTAGGATCCTTCCAGTCTATCTGTCACTAACAAGGTGTGAGTGAACTGTGCAGTCACCCCATCATTCAACACAGTCTCAGTTCCTTGGGTGACAGTGGTGGAGTCCATGGTCCAAGTGACAGTGGTAGCAGGTCCACCAGTGGAGATACAGGTGACGTTGAATGAGTTGTCATCATGGAGAGTGAAAGTCATACCACCTGACAATGATAGATGCCCTGAGTATAGAGAGAGCACCAGTATAATGTACATTCAAAACCAAACATTACCTCTCCAGTGTTGTACAGTCCAACATAGACAGTCTGAAGTGTGGATGCAGCATCCTCTACTGAACACCAATATATCCCCTCTGGTGCAGTACCAGTGTGGTCCTCTTCAGTCTCACTACCATAGACCTCTGTTTCTGGTAACTCCTGGAACATCCATTAGATTTACTCTAGTCCCATCTGGTCCATACCAGTTTCCTGAAGTAGGAGTACCAGGCACGGTTAGTAACACAGAGTAGAGCAGTGTCGTCTTCAGTGAAGCCAATATGAATGATATCCACATAGCCATGATCACGGATGACAGCTCCTTTCAGCTTGATGAAGACATCTACATACATATTGGTAAATCAAAGTATTGAAACAGAAAGTGAATGCTCACTATCAGGAGTCTCAATATTCTGTGGTTGGCTGTAGACTCCAGTACCACCACTGGTCCTTGCTGCCACTTCAACTGTGTAGACTGTCTGTTTAGTCAGTCCACTGAGTGTGATCATTCCTCCACTGGAGTCTCCAGAGAGAAACCCGTGTGTCTGGTCACCTCCCTCCTTTCCATTATACCTCACCGTGTAGTCTGTTATCTCTCCATTCCGATGTATACAGTCCACCAGCCCCCACGTGATGTTGATGCTAGTTGAACTGACCACTGACAATCTCACAGAAGAGGGAAGGGGCAGATGGAGCTGTGAGTGAGTAAGGCTCAGAATGAGGAGAGAAGAGATCTGAGAGATAGACTGACCAGCAGTTCTTGTTGTGGCTGTGACAGTATCTTGTTCAGTCCTTCCTCCAGTCAGAGTGGCAGTGACAGTGATAGAATACTGAGTTCCCTCCTCTAGACCAGTTAGTTGATATGTTGTCTCACTAGTAATTGTATCACTTCTGGAGTCAGTGAAACAGTCAGTGTTGTTAGTGTTGGAGTAGGAGATGGTGTAGGCACTAGCTGTCAAAGTCTCCTCCAGTGTCCATGAGATGGCCAGAGATGTATTGGATGAGGAGATAACTTGTGTACTAAGTCCATCTGTTTAGAAAAATATTAACCCTGGATTTCGGCTAAGACAGAGAACACCTGTCCCTATTCACAGGTATACAATAGTCAGTTGTTTAAAGTTTTGCGTAGGCATTGATTCTACACGGCTCCATGCATGCCTTCATGTCTCAGCAGTTAGTAGACCTTTAGGAATGGCTTTTTGCCTACACTGTCAAAACATTCTCCTCCCTCACTGATCATTGAGACTCAGTCAGTAATTCCACTCATAATCCTTTTTTTAGCCCTCCCTAAACTTACCACTAGTCGTGAGAGAGATACCAGAGCTGTATGGACCAGTACCAGCACCATTCACTGCTGCCACTTGAACAGTGTACCAGGTTGATGGAGACAACCCAGAGATTGTAGCCTGTCTAGCACCACCACTGACACTAGCAGTTTCTTCTACCACTCCATTTTTCACAGCCTCTGCTATGTAACCAGTTATCTCTCCATTACGGTCAAGACAAGGCACCTCTTCCCAATGGACAGTAATGCTACTGGCAGTGACTGTACCACGTCTGATTGAGCTGGGACCTCGTGTAGGTTCTGTGTATTAACAACAATGAATAACAGGGACAAGTCATACAATACTAACTGAGCCTCTTACTTGTGTGCATAGTTGTTGCAGTTACACCATTACTGACTGGAGCACTGCCAGCTGCATTGAAGACTCTCACAGTAATGGTGTACCTATTCTCTGGCTCTAGTCCAGTTATTCTGTATGAACCACTAAAACCTTGATTCACAGTAAAGAATCGCTGATTTGAAGAGGAGCAGCCAACTGAAGTGTCTCTCTGCCACTGGACCACAAACCCAGTCACCACTGAGCCATCGGCTGGGACACTACCAGTGATAGTGATAGTAGTGGTAGTGACTGTTGGAGACGTATTCAGAACTAGAGCAGATGGATCTGTGGGGGAAAAATTAGTTATGAAAAATTGTAAACGTTGGTATGTATTATTCCTGCTTACCCAAGCGAACAGTGTTGGTGGCAACACTTTCACTGACTAGGTCTGTTGATGATGTGGTTACAATGGATATGGTATAAATCTCTCCATTGGTAAGACCAGTCAGTGTGTGTCTGTTAGTATTTTCACCAGCAACATTCACACTGCCTGTGGATCCCCCAGAGTAGGAGATTTCATAGCCAGTGATACCATTCAATGGAGAAACAGGAGGGTTCCAGGTTACTTCAATACTTGTAGGTCCTCTCTGGACAGCTGTCACACCAGTGGGAGGTGAAGGATCTGAAGAAACATCAAACTTGAAGTGAAATTACTCTGATTATAACAAAGGGGAATAGGGTATATACCTAATGTGATGCTAGCTGATGCAGATGATGGCTTGGCATTAGACACAGTACATGTGTATGTTCCCAAAGCAGTCACAGTCAGAGTGTGGGTGTACTGTGCAGTCACTGGGTCATTCAACACAGTCTGGGTTCCTTGGGTGACAGTGGTGGAGTCTCTGGTCCAAGTGACAGTGGTAGCAGGTCCACCAGTGGAGATACAGGTGAGGGTCAGCTGGCTAGGGTCAAATGTCACTCCTCCTGATATTGAGATGCTCCCTCCTATTTTTAGAAGAAAGAGACTACCATAACTATAAGTATTAGTCATGAAGGATTTTTAATGCTGGTTTCCTCAGCAATTTAACATATCCTGATGCACTTAGCTAACAAATTTACCTGCACTAGTATACAGTCCCACATAGACTGTGGCTCTCACTGAGATGTCTGTATCATCATTGACAGCATTGGTTGGAATCTCACAACGATATATACCAGTTGGTGAAGTGGCACTATTTGCACGACGTAGTTCAACTCTCTGTTGTTCTTCAACCATATAAATATCTTCATTTGTCTGCAGAGCTACACCATCAGGGAAAAACCATTGTCCACGATGAGGACCATCTACAATTCTGCAACAAGTCCCCAGATCAGTGTGACACCAAACACTGGTGCTATTATCTGTCCCCACTGTTTCCAAGGTCTACATAACTATGGTTAGGTAGCCCAGCTCCCATGGATAAGGAGACATAAGGGAAAGTCTGACAGTCGACCTCCAGACTACAGAGGAGACTCAACGCAAGCACAAATCTCGAATCCATAACGTCTGACAGTAAACCTCCAGACTACAGAGGAGACTCAATGCAAGCACAAATCTAGAATCCATCGCAGAGTGAAAATGTACGAGCTGAGCCGTGAATAATACCAAACGTTTGTTTCCGCCTCCGGGGCGCTGCGATTTATTGCGCGTGCGCTCTCCGCATCGAATCATGGGCTATAATTACTAGTAGGCGAATGCATGGCATTTTTGGCGAGCGGGAGCGAGCACACAATGACTGTATCTGCACGAACCTATTTACAACTTGAACCTTAGAACCACGAAGATTGCAAAGAGGTGTATACAGCTTCGGTCAGGTATCGAAGAGCGCAGCGAATGCCAGCCAATAGACGAGAGTTCTTTCGCTGGCTAGATTTCCCATCGATATGACAGCTAGGCAGCGAGTAATAACGAAAAAAGCGTGTTCCCTATCACGCAAGCGACGCTGATACAGACGAGCTTCTCCCCGCTCAGGAGTCTCACGGCACGGGCACAATGCCCTCTCTCTTCGACCATCTTCTCTGGACTGACCCATGATTGCGAGAGTACGGAGCTACACACACGCCAGACATGCATTACGACAGGCAGCAGCATGTGAAATTTTGAAACCCTTTCGGATAAAAAGAAGCGCGTAATCCTGGAGCATGCGCAGTTGGACGACGTACGGTGGTAGATAAATATATATTATATGAGAAAAATATTCCGCGCCGTTCGTACCACTAGGTTAGCTCGCTCCCGCTCGCCAATTATACAGAAAACTATTGTGCAGTCAAAATTCACGCCATGGCACACGAATGTAGAATCACATATCTCCAGGAATTACATTATAGACAGCAGTGTCTTTCTCCTCAGTGTCAGCAACAGTATGTGGGAGAGGGATGGCGGGGAGGGGTTGGCTGGGGGTAGGGGCAGAGGACGAGGGAACCTCATACATGGGTCTCCACGAGAGATGTCCTCCAGCTCATATCCCTCTTCTCTCTGTCCTTCCCCCACCGTCCCACAGGCCTCGTTAGTTGAGGTGTGAATATCACCACTTTCAGATCCATACCTGCACAGATGAAATGTTACACACTAAGTGATTCATACCATACTGCAAAAATAATAGTGTAATAATGCCATCATAAATTGATAGACTGACACACGTCATAATCATATACTTTTTGTCAGAAATGTTCTTCGGTGAAACTTCTCCACGGTGGTTCCTTAAC